GAGTGTGCATGTACATAACACCCTACTGTGCATGCACATAACTTGCAACCCAAGATAGCCTCCTGCATCCTCCCCCTCATCACCTACCTGTCCAACTAGTAACCTCTTATCTGGCCTTGACTCACCCCAGCCACATTTTAGGCAGCTCTGTGTCCTACTAGTATCATTGCTTGGGGGGAGTGTTTAGGTAGTGGCTTTAAACTGAAGTTTATGCTTTTATGTAAATTAGTTCATTAATAATGTGTAAAATTTCACACATGGAGCTTCACAAAATTGGCAGCTATGAGAATCATACTTCTACATTTATTTCCAACTATCATAAGAGTGTTGAAGTTAGTAGAAAACATGAGGAGGACTCCACAGAGAAGCACTAAACACAGAAAAGCAATTGACTGAGGTGATGGAATGAATGCAGGGTGTCTGGCAGTTTCAGTGAAAGCTGGTTTGGTCCAGTAAACAACAAAGAACTACACCAGCATAAACCTATACAACTATTCAGTGTAATCAGGATCTAAAGGACAGAGTCAAAAGAGTGTTAGGCCTGACAGTAAAGTGGGAATTTGATTATTAGGCTCTTGTGTTTTACTGATGGAATTACAAACTTCTGTTTTGGAGTGCATCACAAGACAAGATATATGTCTGAAGAAAATCACATGATGTTGTTTTGTGTTTGATTTCTTCTGCCTTTTCTATCCGTTTGGAATGCCAATGTTTTGTTTTTACCACTCCCCTCTAGTGCAGCAGTCATATATTTTTTTTCCAAGATGTGAGGGGTTAAATCACAACCTGGTCCTGTTAAAAGCTTTTCAGATTAAGACCAACACTTTGACATGACTTCTCAAGTGAATGGGTAGCTAACAGAATCTACAAAGCTCAGGTGTATTGTGTTCCCATTTATCTTTATGGTTGATGAGGTGCATTGCTGCATACTGCAGCAACCTCAGTCCTCTCGAGTCAATTCTGTACAGTCTCAGATGGAATGAATTGTAATAATCTAATCTGGAGGCACTGAAAATTTGTAATGTGGTCCCCAGCCCTGTCCGGCACCCACTTCGTCAGATGCATGTAGTGGAAATTTCCAGAGGCAGGAATAAATATGCAGGCCAGGATCAGGCTGGAGATGACCAGGTGGATCCAATCAAGGAGGATGAGGCCCACTTCTAGCAGCTGATCTGGAGGTGTGAATTCCAAGAGAATAGAAGCTGCTTTTGTAGTTAGCAAGCCATTCACAGTCTTTGTTTAATCCAGAGTTGATTGTGTCAAACTTAAAGATGAACTGTAGCTCAGCAGTTTCTCTTTGAAGTCTGGTCCTGAAGTTTTTTTGCTGCAGGATGGCTACTTTTAGATCTGCAATTGTGTGTCCAGGAAGATTGAAGTGTTCCCCTACAGGTTTTTGTATGTTGCCATTCCTAATATCAGATTTGTGTCCATTGATTCTTTTACGTAGGGACTGTCCTGTTTGGCCGATGTATATAGCAGTGGGGCATTGTTGGCACATGATGGCATATATTACGTTGGTGGATGTGCAGGAGAATGTACCAGTGACAGTATGGCTGGTCTGGTTAGGTCCTGTGATGGTGTTGCTGGTGTATATATGTGGGCAGAGTTGGCACCGAGGTTTGTTGCAAGGATTGGTTCCTGAGTTCGAGTTATTATGGTGCGGTGTGTAGTTGCTGGTGAGAATATGCTTCAGGTTGGCGGGTTGTCTGTGGGCAAGGACCGGCCTACCTCCCAAGGCCTGTGAGAGCGAGGGGTCATTGTCCAGGATGGGCTGAAGATCACTAATGATGCGTTGGAGAGGTTTTAGCTGGGGACTGTAGGTGATGGCCAGTGGTGTTCTGTTGGTTTCTTTCTTGGGCTTGTCCCGTAGCAGGAGGCTTCTGGGTACACGTCTGGCTCTGTCAATCTGTCTCCTCACTTCCTCGTGTGGGTATCGCAGTTTACAGAATGCTTGTTGAAGGTCTTGTAGGTGTAGGTCTCTGTCTGAGGGGTTGGAGCATATGCGGTTGTACCTCAGTGCTTGGCTGTAAACAATGGATCGTGTGGTGTGTCCGGGATGGAAACTGGAGGCATGCAGGTAAGTATAGCGGTCGGTAGGTTTTCTGTATAGGGTGGTATTGATATGACCGTCACTTATTTGTATCGTGGTGTCCAGGAAATGGACCTCCCGTGTAGATTGGTCCATGCTGAGGTTGATGGTGGGGTGGAAGCTGTTGAAATCATGGTGAAATTCTTCCAGAGTCTCCTTCCCATGGGTCCAGATGATGAAGATGTCATCGATGTAGCGTAGGTAGAGAAGGGGTGTAAGTGGACGAGAGCTGAGGAAGCGTTGTTCCAGGTCAGCCATAAAAATGTTGGCGTATTGTGGGGCCATGCGGGTGCCCATAGCAGTGCCACTGGTCTGGAGGTATATGTTGTCACCAAATCTGAAATAGTTGTGTGTGAGGATAAATTCACAGAGTTCAGCCACCAGTTGTGCTGTGGCATCATCAGGAATACTGTTCCTGACAGCTTGTACTCCATCTGCATGTGGGATGTTTGTGTAGAGAGCCTCTACATCCATGGTGGCTAGGATGGTGTTTTCTGGAAGATCACCTATGCATTGTAGTTTTCTCAGGAAATCCGTAGTGTCACGAAGGTAACTGGGAGTGCTGGTGGCGTAGGGTCTGAGCAGAGAGTCCACATAGCCAGACAGTCCTTCAGTAAGAGTGCCAATGCCCGAGATGATGGGGCGTCCGGGATTTCCAGGTTTGTGGATCTTGGGTAATAGATAGAACAACCCTGGTCGGGGCTCTAAAGGTGTGTCGATTTGTTCCTGTGTTTGTTTGGGGAGTGTCCTGAGCAGATGGTGCAGTTTCTTAGTATATTCCTTAGTGGGATCTGAGGAAAGTGGCCTGTAGAATTTGGTATTGGAGAGTTGTCTGGCAGCCTCCTTTAGGTAGTCAGGCCTGTCCATGATGACAACAGCACCTCCTTTGTCAGCCTCTTTGATTATAATGTCAGAGTTGTTCCGGAGGCTGTGGATGGCATTGCGTTCTGCACGACTGAGGTTACCAGGCAAGTGATGCTGTTTTTCCACAATTTCTGCCTGTGCACGTCGGCGGAAGCATTCTATGTAGAAACACATGAAGGCACACAGCCCCAGTTTCTCCAGCCCCCAGAGAGCTGGCAACATGGCCCCAGACACAGCAGGGCTGGATCCCAGACAGGAGGAGTTGTCTGGGGGGCCAAGTGTGGGCAGTGTTCTGGTAGTTTAGGAAGGCATTGCCTTCCCCTGCTTCTTATATCTGCCACCCATGGGGATGCCCCTGTTTAAATCCTTTCTTCCCTCTTTTAGAGCAGGGGGAAATGAACCTGAGTTTCCCTTATCCCAGGAGAATGTTCTAATCCCTGGGCTAAAAGTTATGCAAGTAGGCGCCAACATCATCTCTCCCATCAGCTGTATTTTGAATAGGATCCAATTTGGTAGGTGCCCCCGAGCCTGCTGAATTGGGCCTCAATTGCTTGTGACTTAGGTGGGCAAAAGCCTATCTTCCCTGATTTATGGAGATAGTTCAACTGGATGCCTAGAGGGAAGCAACAATGCACAAGCTCAGAGACTGAAATGTAAAGGCTTAGAGAACCTTTGCTTTGAAAATGTGAGCTTAGTGCCTACAGGGTTTCAGGGATTGTTGTGGATAAGAGTAGAGCCTAAAACTGGGACCTATACACTTAAGTCTTTGGTTCATGCTCCTAAGTACCTTTGTGGATCTGGGGCCTGGTCTCTCTGTGTTACAGTTCCCCATCTGTACAATGGGGATACTAACACTTTCCTACCTCAGAGGGATGTACTGAGGACAAATGCTTTAATGATTGGGATGTGCTCAGATGTAATGGTAATGGGGGTGCCATGGGACTGTGATGATAGAAGGAAGACCCACTCTGAGAGCATGTGACCTGAAGTACTTTGGTGAGTGTACTCATTCCAAATTACTACAAGTTTTACATTACAAACTATCAGAATTAGCAACCTTCTAATCAGTTAGTCCCATCCAGGAAGTCCATATTTTCAATTTTGTGGTCTGATCCTGTGCCCATTGAAGTCAAAGAAAAGATTCCCGGTAACCAAAGCAAATGTTGGATGATGCCTTTTATTTGTAAATAGAGAATTCATTGCCACTGAAACCAACATATTTTTTGTCCTCTGAGGATGTGGTGAAGACTAATATTTTAACGGGGTTCAAAAAAAAGCTAGATAAATTCATGGAGGTTAGGTCCATTGAGAGCTATAAGCCAGGATGGGTAAGAATGTGTCGTTAGCCTCTGTTTGTCTGAAAATAGATGACAGGAGAGGGATCACATGATGATTACCTGTTGCGTTCCTCTGGGGCATCTGGCATTGGCCATTGTTGGCAGACAGGATACTGGGCTAGATGGACCTTTGGTCTGACCCAGTATGGCTGTTCTTGTGTTCTTATGAATATGTTTTTCTGCTGACTAGCTCATCTCCTGCATTCATTGTTGTAGTGATGCCTAAATAAGTCGCAGTTACTGTTGTGTTGAATATCAAATATTAATTGCTCATTTCTATACACAAATAATGGAAAAATATGCCCAACACATATCTAATTCCACCAGTTTATTGTTGGATTTTTTTGTTTTATTCTCACAGGGAGTGTATATTCCACTGATATAGAATCTTATTTTAATCGCTGGCTGAAGGGAAGTTAAAATTAGTGTTTGGATGACCAGATCATCTAAACCATGATTACATTTGAACAGGTCTAATATTTCAACTAACCCTAATCGTTCTGTGAATCAATATATTGCTTTTGTTTATATTACTCATTTTAATATAATTGTGAGAGTTATAGTGATAATATTGATTATGTGCTAAGTATTCTTTTTATTACTGCTAATTAGATAATACCTGGTGTCTTATAGATATGTAAGAAGTCAGGGTTCTGCATAAAAGATCTTAAAATTAAGTCCTGATTCTGTAACATCTTGCATGTTTGCAGGCTGAGCTCAGTAAGGCCATGTGTGGCAGGCCACCCATGCACAAGAAGATGAAGGATTGGGCATCTACATACACAGAAAAGAAGACACAGATGAATAAAATGATGGCAAAAGTGGTTTAAAATGCACTGAAAAGAGCTGCTTCTTCCCCCAATCATTTTAGCTGTCTTGCTGTATTTTTTTTTATTTAAATATTTTACTTTAGTTTCTGTCTTTAGTTTGTTTTTCGTTTTCCTAGTGCTTTCATGATCAGGTGCTGAGCAATAGGGAGCATTTGGAGATTATTTGTGGACTGCTAGCCTAGAGGGGTGAGTTTTAACAAGGCATCTGTTATGTTTCTCCAGTGTGTTCACAGCAGGAGGACTCTGTGTGCTTGCATACTGAAGGGTGGAGTAAATCAGCACTGTGTATTAAATACCCATAGGCAGCTATGTGGGTGGGGCATTTATACTAGCTCATCTAAAGATAAAAGTGTTTTTCTTTCTTCTCTAATACTTGTTTTTTCTTTACTAAATTGTTCAGAAATCCTTCTGTTCAAATGTCCTGTCTCTTTGTGTTATGTGAGGCATCCCAAGTGGTTGCATTACATAATTATTTATGTGATGTAACAAGAGAGGATGCTTTTCAGTATGATACATTAGCTGTGGAAATGTGAAGGGAAGTTTTCTAAATCAAAGAAAAAAACGCATGTTCATAGAAATCTAAAAATAAAAATGCTTTTAACCTTCTTTTCTAGCCTTTCCTACTCCCAGTGTGCAAAGATTTCTCTAATCTGAAAGAAAATTATCTATTTGCAGGACTTTTTTTGTAAATAATAAATATAAGCATGGTGAGTTGCAAATGCCCAGGATACCCAAGTGGTTGGTAAACAGCTTGTCCTGTTAAAGGATCTTGGTTTAAAGGGAAATATTAATAATACATTTTAATCATAACATTTAAAACAAATCTGACAATGACTACTCTTGGAGCAGCTAGTTTTTGAAACCCACAAGAGGAGAGGCAATTCTTGATTTAGTCGTAAGTGGAGCAGAGGAAGTGTTCCAAGAGGTGAATACAACTGGAGAACTTGGTAACAGTGATGTAATACAATTAAATGTAATGTCCCTATGTTGGGGAAACATGACAGTACCTAATACGGTAGCATTTAATTTTAGAAAGGGGAACAATGCAAAAATGAGGAAGTGAGTTAATTAGATATTAAAAGGCACTGTACCAAAAGTGAAATCCCCACAAGCTGCGTGGAAACTTTTAAAATACACCAAAATAGACGTTCAACATAAACGTATACCCCCAAATTAAATTTAAAAAAAGAACATAGTAACAAAACCAAAAAAGCACTGGTGTGGTTAAACACAAAATAAAAGAACAATGAGGCTATGTCTACACTATGGTGTTTTTCCGAGATACTCCGCCACATCCAGGAAACACCTCTTCTCTTCTGCTTTTTTTTTTATGGAAGAGCAGATGCGCTCTTTTGGAAGCCCCATCTTCCTTATTCCATGAGAAAGAAGGACTCTTCCAAAAGAGGAGGGTTTTCCAAAATTTGGCCCAGTGTAGATGGGCCAAATTTCGGAAAAGCCTCTTCCAAAAAATCTATCGGAAAAAAGTATTCAAATTGCAGAGTACAATTTGGCTACGTCTACACTGGCCCCTTTTCCGGAAGGGGCATGTAAATTTCAGCAGTCGTCATAGGGAAATCCGTGGGGGATTTAAATATCCCCCGCGGCATTTAAATAAAAATGTCCGCCGCTTTTTTCCGGCTTTGAAGTAGGAATAAGACCCTCCGGAAAAGGGCACTTTTTCCGGAGGATCGGGGCCAGTCTAGACGCTCTTTTCCGGCTTTTTTAAAAGCCGGAAAAAAGCGGCGGACATTTTTATTTAAATGCCGCGGGGGATATTTAAATCCCCCGCGGATTTCCCTACGACGACTGCTGAAATTTACATGCCCCTTCTGGAAAAGGGGCCAGTGTAGACGTAGCCTCTGTGTATCTTTTTCCTATAAATCACTGTAGTCTAGACATAGCCTGGGAGACTAAAAGGGATCCTTTAATAACGGGAAGTTAAATCCTTGGGAGGAAAATAGAAAGAAGCATAAACTTTGGTAAGTGAAATATGAAAATGTAATAAGTAAGGCCAAAAAAGAAACTGAAGAGCAGCTAGCCAATGACTGAAAAAGTACTAGCATACCATTGGAAACAGGAAGCCTGCTAAATATCCAGGGGGGATTCTAAATGATGCTAAAGGAACACTCAAGAATTTAGTTTCTCATTGCAGAGAAACTAAATCAATTCTTTGCATTGGTTTTCATGGCTGAGGATATGAGGGGATTTCCAAACACGAGCCATTCTTTTTAGGTGACCAATCTGAGGACATGTCTCACATTGAGATGTCATTTACAGGAAGTTTTTAGAACAAATAAAGAAATTAAAGAGTAAAAGTCACCAGGACCAGATGGTATTCACCCAAGAGTTCTGAAGGAACTGAAATGTGAAATTGAAAAACTACTAACTGTTGTCTGTAACCTATCATTTAAATAGCTTGTGTACCAAATGATTGGAGGATAACTAACATGGCATCAATTTTAACAAGGGTACCAAAGGTAATTCCAGAAATTACAGGCTGGTAAACCTGACTTCGGCACCAGGACTACTGGTTGAAACTCTAGTAAACAACAGGAATTGTCAGACACATAGATGAACATAATTTGTTGGGGAGGAGTCAACATGCTTTTTGTAAAGGGAATCATGCCTCACCAATCTACGAGAATTCTTTGAGGTAGTCCACAAGCATGTGGACAATGGATATCCAGTGGATATAGTGTACTTAGAAGTTCAGAAAGCCTTTAACAAGATCCCTCACAAAAGGCTTTTAAACAAAGTAAGCTGTCATGGGATAAGAAGGAAGGTCCTCCAGTGGATTAGTAACTGGTTAAAAATAGGAAACAAGAGTTAGAAATAAACTTTCAGTATTCAGAACAGAGAGGTAAACAGTGTTGTCCTGAAGAGGTCTTTTCTGGGACCAATTCTATTAATCGTAAACATAAATGATCTGGAAAAAGGGGTAAACATTGCGGTAGCAAAATGTACAGATGATACAAAACTACTTAACATGGTTAAATCTAAAGCAGACTGTATAAAAATACAAAGGGATTTTCCAACAGTGCCCAATGTCAGGTGTCTCAGAGAGAATGAACAGAGCAGGAAGTCATCAGCTGACCCATCCCTTGTCACCCATCCCCAGCTTTTGGGAAACAGAGGCTAGAGACACAGTCCCTGCCCATCCTGGCTAATAGCCATTGATGAGCCTGTCCTCCATGAATTTATCCAGTTTTTTAAACTCTTCTATAGTCTTGTCCTTTACAACATCCTTACATCTTGTGTTATCAAGAGTAGATAACACTTCCTTAATAATTGTTATTATTATTATTATTATTACTACTAATAATTTATTTATTAGACAATCTTTCTATTAAACCAACCAAATTCACGAAACTGATAGCCCTAAAGTTGAAATTGAATTAGAAAGCGATGTCGCAAATCACATCATCGAGCCAATCACATGTCGATTTCAAGCAAATTTTGGAGATGGCTTGGTGGAGCGATGAATGCTTCCAATCATCCATGTTTATGCTGTCACCATCCACAAACTACAAGGGACCATGGTGGAAAGAGCAGTTGTGAACCTTGGCTCTCAATATTTTACGCCAGCTCAACCATTCATGGCACTCAGTCGAGTATGTTCTTTAGAAGGCACAGAGATCAATGAAATCTATCCAAACAAATTAATGGGCAACAATGTTTGCCTTAGAAGAATTACAGCGTCTTCAAAGCCTTCCTCCTTTTCACCAACAAAACAATTGATCGATTGTTTTGAACCTTGGCTCTCAAATCTTTGTGCCAGCTTATTTATTGCACTCAGTCAAGTCCATTCTTTGGGAGGTGTAGAGATCAATGAAATCAATCCAAACAAATTCATGGGCAACAAAATGTTTGTCATAAAGACGCCTTGGAAGAATTACAGCATCTTCGAAGCCTTCCTTCTTTTAACCAACAAAGCAATTGATTGATCACCTCAATTACTTTATCCTTGCCTTAAACACAACAACTGATTTTAATTAAAAATGTAAATACCTAGTGCAAAAAACACTTTGTAAAACAGTCTATCTCAAAATACATAAGCATATCAAAATTAACTTTGGAGTTTTTATTAGTTGAAACACACTAGATTTAAGACCAAAAAGTCATAAATAAAAATATATGTATTAAAAAAAACTTTTTAAAAAGACGATCTTTCTAAAAGCACACCAAAAAGACTAAAAATAATAAAAAAGTGCCCCAAAAAAGTCAAAATTAAAGTTTTAAGCTAGCAATTTAGGAGAAAGATTGGATATGATTCAATTATGATTCAAGCTAGTTGCTAACTGTTAGCCATCCAATCTTTCTCCTACATTGCTAGCTTAAAACTTTATGTTTTACTTTTTATGCACCTTTTTATTACTTTTAGTCTTTTGGTGTGCTTTTAGAAAGATTGTATTTTTAAAAAGTTTTTTAAATATATTTTTATTTATTTCCTCCATACCCATTATGAGTTTATAGACCTCTATCAGATCCCCTCTGTCTTCTATTTTTCAAGCTAAAAAGTCCCAGATTTATTAATTTCTCCTTATATTGTATCTGTGTCATATTACAATCATTTCTGTTACCCAAAACTAAAAAAAAAAAAAAAAAGCAGATTATTTCTGTTATAATTAATATTAATACTATGCTGCTAGAAAATTTTGTCCACACCAACAGTAAACAAAATGGAGAGAATTATAGTATATTATAGTTTGAAGAGTAAATTGGTCCAATGAGGCTTACAAACAGACAGAGTCCTATAAATTGTGAATGACACCAAGCCAGGACAGTTCTTCATAATCCAAGCATTTCCTCCATATAGCTCAATAATATTCCAAGATCTACTGTAGTGAAAGTAGCTGAAAGATCTATCAGAAGAAATAATGTAATTTACCTTGAATAATCAGCTAGTAATAAATCATTTGTGCCCTTAAGTAAAACAATCCTAGTATCGTTCTCCCTGAAACCAGACTGAAATCTCTCATATCCATTCCCAGGCAAAATTGTCTAAAGTTGAAGGACAACCACTTTCTCCTTCCCACTATCCACCTTCCCTGCCACCAGCCCCAAAGAGTTTTAGTAAGCGATCAGTCATAGGAGAGAAAACTCCAAGATACAAAAGGGAAAGCTTTGACTGTTTCTACTAACAATGAACAGCTACAGATAATGGACACATTCAGAAAGGAAAGACTCATTAGCCATATTAGCTAATGTAGCAAAGCACCAAAAACTGTCCGTGAGCAGCCATACAGGCCAAGAGTCAAAACAAGAAGTAATGGAGCATGATTGCTTTCCCAACTATGTGAGCTCAGCATGGAACAAAGAAAAACTGTCAAACTTGCACTGGTAGCATAATTACCATTAGAAATTCACTCTGTTCCTGATGAATTCCTCACAGGAGGCAGTTGAAGGGTTCTGCACAACAAGTGATTTGTGGTTCAAAATGTGATCAATAGTACAAAATAAGGCTTCAGGTCTGTTTTCCTCATTAGCAATGGGAGGAGAAAAAGTAGACCTGCTTGGAACAAAAGCAATGTGATAAGACTATACATGAGCTTTGTGCATCCGGAGATTAATTTCACAAGACACACTTTGAAGTTGCTTCTAGTCATGGGCTGCCATCTTCACCCCAGTGAAGTTTATGTCTGGTATGGAGGCCAAAGACAAAAAATTGGAAATAATTCAATAATTCTACAGATAGGCGAGTTTTATAAAAAGAAG